GACAGGAGTGACAAGAACTGATGCCCTTTCATCATGTTAAGTGAATTTGAAATTAATCCATGATTAGTTTGTGGTTTTTATTTTTGAACCCTTAGAAATCTGATACCTCTTGCAGTTTCTTAGTTAAAAAACTGCGTGGTTTGTTCCCATCAAGTTTCGTTTACCGTCTGTCAAGGTAAACTGTCCGTAGTTTTGTTTTTCATTGGTCTTATTTGGATCAGGTAAGAAGGTAAATAGTGCTATATATATATATAGATTCTACCACTGCATCAAGTGTGATACGATATTTATCCATTCGAGACAGTTAAATTTTCAAATTAAAAACGCGAGGCTCGGCGAGCGTTTTAAATATTTAAAATTTAACCACCGAGAGTGGATAAATTTCGTATTACACGAGATTTGGTGGTAGAATCTATTTCTCTAATGATTTTCAAACAATATGCAGGCAAACTTATTCCGTCTTTTCGAATGATCTGTAAAAAGATGTGTTCTTTATATGTGACGTCATCAGGCATGGTCGCCTTTTTTCATGCCGTCACAATAGGAAATTCAGAGGAAAGGAAGTAAATTCAAAGTCATAATCGGATTTTAACCAATGAAGAACTGAGATCAAACGAACCACACGTTGATTATTTTTTTTTTATACAATGGGTGCAGAAAGGGATAAATTGACGACGAATTAGAGAAATATATATATATTTATATATATATATATATATATTTATGTGTGTAGTGTTATATAAAAAGTCTAAATAACAGCCCAACAATGTTAGATCTGTACATTTGCGGATGCAATTGTTTTGTTCTTCTTCCTTGTCCGGGATTCAAACTCATGCTACTGAGATACCGTGATACTAAATCGCCTTGCACTATGCCCGACGCGCTAGACCACTCGACCACCTATGCTCGACAAAAGTCAAGCTTTCGGTGGCCGGGTGTTACCTTTACTCGTCAGTTTGTATCTAGCGTCCTAACACAGTACGTAATATATAAGGCATGAAGATGGAATTTTTACAGATGAGCTGAATTATCTATCGTAAATAATCTTACAAATTAATGTAGGATGCAGACATATTATAAGTACGTCTCAGCCAGTGAAACACAACGACATATTTCATCCAATGGATCACCATTTATGGTGATACAAGCCTGAAAACACATACTGTACTAGTATATACAATTCGTATAAACAACAATATATATATATATATATATATATATATATATATATATATATATATATATATATATATATCATGTGTATTATATACTTGTTTTTTGTTCTTAAAAAACATATTTATAGCAAAAGGCTGTGGTACAGATGATTTTCACAGATATTTTTTTAATGAAACAGAAGTAGCACCATCGATGGCACTTTTTGCACAAGAAGTTTCATCTTGGTGTTTTCTATCATAAGTTCGTGTGTAGTGTACTGTATGATTTTATCTTATCTGTTCATCCGATTATGTATATGTGTGTTTGTCTTTCACATATGTTCATCATTACTTCCTTACTATCCGCTTCCTTTTTCTGTAGCACGAAGAAAAACGCCATCGTTGTCAAAGGGTCTTTTTTTATCTTGCAAAAGAATCTTGTCATATAATCGAAATTTAGAAATCTAGTGATATAATATTGTATTAAGTATGATCTATAGATTCATACTATACAGACATGTTCACAATGCAATCATTTTGAGAGTATAATTTACGTATTGCAGATATTATATGAGAAATACATCTTAACAAAAAAGAAGTGAAAGTGTGAGCTACTGCTCACTGATGATACCCGCGCCCAAACATTTCGATAAACTGGAAGTTGTTGAGTGATGAATCTGAAAACAGACCATACGATGTAGATGACTCATATAAAAACTGAAACAAAATTTCAGAAATCCATGTATTGCAATTCCTGTGACAGGTGCGACGAAAATTTTCAACTTGGGTATCATGTGTAAAATAATAAAAGTGTTCGTTTGACAGGAAGTTATTGAGTGATGGATCTGAAAACGCATCACAAGGTATAGCTGACTTAAATAAACTTTGAAACCGAATTTCAAAAATCCTTATGATGCAGTTCCTAAGAAAGATGCCACGAAAAATATTGATTGGACGGATGGACGGACAGACAGAGGTAAAAAAGTAAATTCCCACTTTTTAAAGCGGGGTATCATAACAAACTGTACCATGTAAATGAAATCAATGTAAGTTTGAACTCTGCAAGAAAGACATGCAAACCTTAAAATTATTTATACACCAGATATAGTGACAAATTTGAAATAGTATATACGTAACAATCCACATTAACCAATGAAAAATGAAAGAGAGAAGAGATGCAAATGAAACATGCCAGAGTGATGTATTCATCTTACTATCATTACATCATCGTATATAGTTGATTAATATCTGTACAGTGTATAAGATAAAAACTTGATCATTCCACTTTTGTATTTGTGGATATTGTGTTGTTGACCATTTTTGGCTTTTACAGTTTTTCTTTATCTCCAGTAGTTTTTTCCAAATACATAAAAAGTGTAAACATCGTTATTCTTAGGATTAATACACCCATTACAACTAACTATTTCACTAATGTTGACTTTTTGTCTGTTTTCAGTTGTTGCATATCTTTTTACAGTCTACATTTTTTCTATAATAGTGTTAGTATACCATGGGAAAAAATCGATGGAAATGATTAATAAAGATGATTATGTTTTTAAGGATTCTATTGCTAATTTAAGTCATATTGGTATATTTGCAGATTGTGTCTTGTTGATTATATTTTCTATGCTGAACAATTTCTTTACTATGAAATTATCAGAATCAAAATGTCAAAACAGTATATAATAGCATTATTGAAGGACAATACCACCAATAAGAAATCGACGTACCCTAATCAGATATGTTAACAAAAGTGTAGATCTTGTCCTTCTGAAAACTGTTTATGTGCACAGTTTGTCGTTATCTACTGTACTAATTAACGAAAAATGCACAAAAAGTGAACTCGTTGGTTATGAAAAAAAAATTATTTATAAATTTCTCTAGATCTGTCAATATTTTTACGGTAATAGACAAAAGCAAAAAAAAAAGAAAAATAGAAAATTTGTCTTTTCATTGCATTATTTCATTTGGGAATTTGTTTTACAGTATTAATGTTAAAGAGTGTAGATATATATATCAACATTTGAACATATCTGTCCCTTCTCGAAAATAAACTATAGCGGTTATCCTGATAAAACACGAACTTGTATTTAACACCTGTGTTCTATATATCATAAAGTTTATCATGCAGGCTGAGATATTTTATTATAAACTAATTATAATTATTAAGATTGTGATAAAACTAGGTTTAAAAAACCCAAGTAGTTTTATTTGAGTCGATTTTGTAAAAGTTTGATAATGATGTCGACAACGACAGACGACGGACGCCAAATGATAACAATAACTCAATTGATCAGGTGGTTCAGACCCCAAAATGCCTGTAAGCAATAAGTAAAAACCTAATAGGGTAACAAAAATGTCATGTATCATCACTGATAACGACAGAGAAGTTTTCCATTGTTAACATAATACCGTTTAAAACGAATTTAATAAAATATTAACTTTACGATATGTTTTTTTTGTCTTTACATCATGGCTTTGGTATAAGTTATGAAACACAAAAGAGAAATGGTTAATTCACAATGTTCACCTTTTTATCCATTTTAAGCTCACCCGGTCAAAAAGGGCCAAGTAAGCTTTTCTAATCACTTGGCGTCCGTCGTCCGTCGTCGTCGTCCGTTAACTCTTACAAAAATCTTCTCCTCTGAAACTACTGGGCCAAATAAAACCAAACTTGGCTTAAATTATCCTTAGGGTATCAAGTTTAAAAAAATGTATCTGATGACCCTGCCAATCAACCAAGATGGTTGCCATGGCTAAAAATAGAACATGGGGCGGGGGGAGGGGGGGTCTGGTAAAATCAGTTTGGCTTATATATCTGAAACTGAAGCATTAAGAGCAAATCTGACACACACTGAAAATGTTCATCAGGTCAAGATCCATATGCACTCAATTTCCCACACGCATCAGACAACCTGTTGTTGTGTTGCTGCTCTGAAGTGGTAATTTTAAGGAAATTGCGATTATTTGTTATTATTTTGAATTTTATAATAGATAGAGACAAACTGTAAACAGCAAAAAGTTCAACAAAGTAAGCTCCACAATTAAGTCAGCATTATCAAAATAGTCATTTACCCCTTCAGGAGTTATAGCCCTTCAAATTCTATTTTTCACAATTTTTCGTAAATTTTTGTACTCTTTTACAAAAATCTGTTCCTCTGAAACTGCTGGGGCAAGTGCATTATAGATAGAGATAACATGTAAACAGCGAGAATGTTCAGTAAAGTCAGATTTACCATCACCAAAACAGAGAATTTTTCATGAATTTTATTCTAGTCTTTAATGTTGTAGAGCGTCCTTTCCTTAATATACACTGCAGCAGGTAGAACAAGATGGACGACACATGCTCTTTAGAGTATCTAGTATTTTTGTTGTTGTTGGTTTTCATCAATTTTCCTACGATACGATATAGTTGTGCCCTAGCTTAATACTGTCATGTATTCGCAGTGTTTGATCTTTTTTTTAATTATATACTAGACTATCTAAAATTATACTCATTGTGCATGTTGTGTCCTATTCACGGTTGTGACATTTTGACTGATTCGGTATTTACATGTCGAAAGATGAGTGCATAGCAGGAGACGCATCCCTATAATTCCTAGGAGTCTTGCGATTCAGCCATAAGCTGCGTTTTACTTAGATGCATCTGATGAATCGATTTGAGATCTGAACATCGTAAACTATTGTTGCCTATATTTAACTAAGAAAAAAAATGTGTCTAATTCAAAATTAAGAAAAGCTTCTTAAATGTAATACAGTATAAGTGAAAACGAATCCAACCTGATAATAATGAACAAATGACTAATTATGGCATTAAAGAAAAAAAAAAACAACAACAAACAAATGACATCTCGATACTTAAATGTCTCATCAGTTATCATTTATCGTATTGTAATGATAAAACAGAAAGAAATTTATTTATGACTTGTAAAATAATACATTTGTCGGCATATAACTGGAAGAAAGTGTAATATGTATTTTTGTTTTATTTTCATTGTTGGATTTAAAGTAGCACAGTACAAAAAGCAACATTTTTTTTCTAAAAATAGGTGGATTGAGGTTTTATAAAACACCTGTCAGAAAAAAAACAATCACACTATCAAAAGCTATAGAGAGAGAATTAAAAAATAAATGAACAGGTATCAGAAATTTGCAATAGGACGATATTTCATGTTACGAATTTTTTTTAGGAGAATGTCAAAAATAAGGAAATTGAGTAAAACATTCTATATTCATTTGCACATAATTATAATTCTGGAAATTCCCCATATCATTTTGACTGACTAACTTCATTTTATGTTACTTTGTATTGTGCTACCTTCATGCTTATAGCTTCCACAAATATCCATTCATAAATCATCATTCTGGAAAATCCGACTTTCCTTTCTCAGATCAAAAAATAAAGGCAGTACAAACTATCAGGTTCATTCGTGAAAGTTCAAAATTGCAAATCAAACAAATACTTGTATCCAACACTTGATTTACCTGTCAATTCATCAATTATTGGTACTTGTTTAGTGTTTTCGATGTGATCATTCTCTGCATATGCATCAGTCTTCAATTTAATATTGTGCCACTCCGTCTTTTCAAGTTCAAGTTTTGGTTCGTTTCTCATCAGGGCTCGTATCCGTAACCTGTTTTCTGTACTGTTTTTTCGGCCAATGGCATTGCATATCAACCCATATTCTGACTGTTCGTCCCTCCACGATTTTGTGAATGTCTGAATATTTAACTTCTTAATAGCATCACGTATATCGTCATATCTGATGTGTTTGCGAAATCGATACTTTGTCTTTTTCTCTCTTCCCATTTTGAAAATACCTTGAAAAATATATGCCATAGTTGTTATATTTATTGAATAAAAGATCTAATAATTAAAATAAGAGGCCAACCTTTTTATTACTACACAGTACTTATAGATATGATATAAAAAGCATAATACTATGATATTCCTTCGGTCAAGTGTCTTCCCTTTCATATATGTTTATTTGGTTTACCATAATATTGACATTGCATTTTTTAAACAAGGGGATTATGTGTTTTGAGATATAGTTTGGTTACAAATCATGCAAAAAGATAGTGGTACAAAGTGAATCACTGAATTGAACAATTGTTTTTGCATTTGTAGATTTTGTGAAATTAAGTCTGAATTTGTTATAAGAAACCATTAAACACAGTATATTTCTCGTGTATGAATATTTGAAAAATATGAACTGTCTACACTCATCATTTTATAGACACTCTATAATGAGCAAAATGGTTAAACTAAATTATATAATAACTTTCTTTGAAATATATGAAAAATGCAATATAAAGCATCATTGTGGTTTTGAGTTGAATTTATGACATCGAGGTCCTTTGTGATTGGCATTTGGCCTTTTTATGACAGTGCAAGTAGTAGACTTTATCACTGCAACAGTCCACCAGAAACCAAATATTGCTGTTTGATCACTATAAAAATAAACTGACTCTTTCAAACTACACTTAAATTCGGAATATTAAGATAGTCGGAAAGATGATTTAGTTACAAATAATGCTAATGATCCAATACTCTCTAAAGGGGATTAGTAAATTAAATTCCATATGAGAGCGTACCGTATCTCGGCCCAAATGGAATTTACTGACCCCGTATATACCGTATAAGGTCACTACCAAGTAACTTATTATATCATGTATATATCAAACCTTTCCTAAACGAAATTCCTTTGGAAATTCTTAATAAGGCGATATAATGTTGTTCCCTCGTATGTGATATAGATGTAGATACAAACGACGTGAAATAATGTTCTCATATCTAGTACTATGTTTGTCGTTCGCTGAGACTTACCTTTATACCTTAAGAGCTCTTTTAGATATGATAGTCTTACGTTGAAGCTGTGCAGCTGCAATATGGAATCTTTTATCACACCTAGAATTAGGGAAACAGTCAAGATGTAAAAAGAAAGACTATTCGCAATATTAAAAGCACATTGTCCTCTAAAGTACCACAACTTACGGTTTTTGAAGATGTCACAAAGATATATGGAATACAGAAGAACATTTGTTTGGCAAAATCAGTAATCCTCTACAATTGATTTACGGCATACTTGAACCTTTTCCACATTTTTTAAAACAACTTAATTGACAATGATTGAAGGGGTGGTGCAAACCGATCGCCATAGAAGTAAGACGTAAAAATGTCAACAGAACTGTAAACACAATAGTATGCATTTAAATTAAACTTATTCATCACACCCTTTGGTTTTAAACCGAAAATCCTAATCTTGTTTTAGTGACTTCTGTGCAATCAAGAAACATTTGTGTTTTGACAGAATGCCATAAAGCTTCATGTACTTGTGTGTTAATACTCGTTTATCATTGTGATAGGTGATATTTAGATAAATGCAACATTAAACCTTGAGAGCACGTTTAATGAACAACAGTTTATTGCATTTTCAAAATAATACACTTTTGAAGTGTTCTTTTCGTTTAGAAGACCAATGCCACAAAAGACACCAATTATTCTTACGAAAGCAACAGCAATTAAAAATTCCTAAAGAGTAATACTAACTAGGCTCGGCAAATTGAGACTGATACCCCTATATCCATTTCAGTTGCTGCTGTAAAATTTTGTATTGAGACAATGACTTTTGATGATAACTGGCTTTCAGAAAAAAATTTAAAATGTGCAGTTCAAAGTAAGGTCAGAATGACATGATTTTGGTATCTGATAAATACAGATCCTATGATGAATCTGCATAGTTACAAAGTTTTTGAAGTAATGTGGTGTACAAGAGAGTTATACTCCGTAAACAAATCAGATACCGTTGTACTATCATTACGGTAAAGGGTCAAAATCAAGTTTAGTATGGTGTCTGATGAGTTTATTTATCTTCATACCAGCGTTTTTTTTCATTTTTGCTGGTGTGTTTTGTATATGCGAATTTTGTGTTTCTTTGGTTCTTATAACGTGACTCTGTACTTTAAAAGATTCCGTCATTATGTTATTGTTCTATTATATGTCATTATGTTATTGTTCTATTATAAATTTGAAAATACTTTGAACGACAAACGACAAATTTATTTTACTCGCGTAGTGGTATTTACCATATGTAGATTCTTAAAAATTCTAAAGAACTTCTGGACAATTTTAAATCTCGGTCTATTTCTGAAATTAATTCTAACATAACTTTTGATTTCTTAACCCTGTATACCAACATTCCCCATGTGAAATTATAAAATTGTTTTGAATAAACATTGAACGACAAAATTTCTTCTTATGTGACGTTTACATTTTCTGACGTCAGAAATGCGAAGCAATGAATGTGGTTTTAATTTGATAGATGCTTTTGTGCTTTTTTGTAAATGGTTGTTTGTTTTGATATTGTAACACAGTGATGACTGCTGTACCCATATTTTGACTATTTTATTTATTATGTCTGTTTTGTTCACGCATCGTTGTAAATATAACGGAATTTGATGAGACTGTCGTACAAGTGAGAGATTTAGCGTTATAAAACCAGGTTCAATCCACCATTTTCTACATTTGAAAATGCCTGTACCAAGTCAGGAATATGACAGTTGTTGTCCATTCGTTTGATGTGTTTTGTCATTTGATTTTGCCATGTGATTAGGGAATTTTCCGATTGAATTGTCCTCGGAGTTCAGTATTTTTATGATTTTAGTTTTTGTTAATGTTAATGCCAACGTACTAAAATTATGCCACATCAACAAATTGGAAAACCTGTTACTATCATAGATGTCAAAGTCAAGATCAGCGTGAATTGACTTAAGCATATGACACACCACAATCCAATGATGCCTCAGTATTCCAATGTTGATAAAAAAAAGTTCTTCGGTACAAAACGTATGCACAGAACACAAAAAAGGCAAGGTGTTATTGTCAAACATTTGAAAGATTAAAGTGAAGATCCGAACGACGATTCTTCCCAATTTAATGATGCATTATCGTATCAGGTTCGCGTACAGTTCATGAGAAAAAGACCGAAATGCAAACACTTGACATTGTCATATGCAAGGAACTTGAAAAAGGTCATGGTCAGATACAAGCAGCAAGAAATTGTAATATCGTGGTCAGATGTGGGATTTCAATTGACAGAAAACTTCTGGTAATGTGTAAGCAGTTCTTGAACAATGAAAATGGTTGCAAGGAAAATGGACATAAGACCAGTCAAAAGCTTCGTAAAATAAGGCAGATGATTAAGACAATTGATATTTGGAAATATGAAATGATTAAGAATACCTATATAAAACTATACGAATTTTTACCTATTGATATAACGTTTTGTTATGATTTTACTAGGTAAACATGACTGACAATAAAACACTGCAAATTACATTTGATGTTTATGAACAATATTGTAACCAACCGAATAAAACTTCAGTATGGGATTGTACTTTTATGAGCAACACGACGGGTGTCACATATTCAGCAGGATCATTCCAATATACATAAGATCCACGGGGTTCTAGCTCGGTGTGTTTTGCTCACTATTTATTTTTCTATGTTGTGATTTGTATGTTTTGTAATTTGCTATTTTGCACTGTTTTGTCGTACTTGCCTGTTTATTCTCAGTTCGTTTTTTTGAATTATGAGTTTGATACTCTTGTTTGCATATGTACCAATCTTTGAAACATACGGAAACTCAAAGTTAATACTGAAAAAAACTGAATTCCACTTTTGAACTTCGAACGCTAGTTGTCTCATTGAAATCATACCGCCTCTCCTTATTTTTATAAAACAAGAATGTTTGTTTTGCTAAAGAATGGTACGACAAAAATGTGGTTTTCAAGTTTAAGAGGATACTAAAATAATTGAAGATTAATGCAATTATTCAGGAAGAAATTTTGACTACATTTGTCGTGTAGGTGGGATCAGTATTTTTGACTTAAAAGCTCTCAAATGTGCTATCTTCAGAAGAATAAAACATACATAATTACCTATTGATATTCAGTGACAACTGTTCGATAATTTGATAGCACCTATATTACTTTATCCTACCTCCCATACAATTCATTGGTTAAAAGCAAATACGTGGGAGTCGTGTATATTCAATAGTGTGTCAATGAGCAGTTGGTTCCTTACCAACTGCGTTTAGTAGGCAGGCGGAAATTGTTGTGTATTCAATTTGTCTTGAATTTAGCACAACTCAGCAAACCTCCAACTCGCACCACTTAAACACTCTCACTAGTTACTACAACTTGCATCACTTTATCAGACTCGCACCACTCAAAACAAATATAACAAACTCGAAACGTGTTTAATCTTTGATTGTTTTCTTCAAATTTTAGTAAATTCCTCCTTTCTCGGGGCATCTGTGTCACACAGATACATAACCCGCACCACTCGAAGAAAAATTACTACAAACTCGCACCACTGAAGAATTGAATTGTTTGAAATCATCAAAGAGTTCTGGATTGTCTTCTCTAGAGTTATTTCCTGCGTTCTTGGAACACCCGCACATTTCGAAAAAAAAACAATAATACAAACACGCAGTCTGAGAGTATTACATGGTAATACATAGTCCCCTACCGGTTTACAATTAATTGTACTGGAACAAAATGCAAACTTGGTCTATAACTTGTCATGGTGTAAACTATATAACATATATCAATATCCTCAAGCATGACAAAACAGTCTTGAAAACTGTTATTTAAGTGAATTATCTAAGACCAAGGACCATTAATCTGCAAAAATGTATCAGACCGAAACAAAATTCGAACTTGATTTGTAACTTGTCATGATAAAACACCATTTATCAAATCAATATTGTCAAGAACGAAGAAAAGAAGTGTGGCAAACTGATTTGCTGGACTGACTGATGAACATACAGACAAACAGACGGACGGATTGCAACCTATAGTCCCCTTCGACTTCGTCGGTAGAGGACTTAATACCACCACTGAGAAATGTTTTGATCATCAGTATTCTAGGTTGTCTTCCTCTTCTCTCAGTATTTCCTCCATTCTTGGAGCACCTGTGTAACACCTGTGTAACACCGAGACAGAAGCTAATAATAAGACACTCTAATTCCTATTGAAGAAGAACTGGAAACTAATCAAAACTATCAACACATTTTCAAAAACGAAGCTAACTGACGCTGTCTATCATCATAAGCATTTCAATTAGTCTTCAAGCCAAGCTAGTGCAGTGATATTTGTAGTGGTATTGAAATTAGAAACATTTCATATCATTGGTTTTGAAGTTCTGCTTCATTAACAATTCTACCGTTAAGGCTATCTGTTTTGTTCAGTTTACTTTTTTTTCAATGACAAGAGTTTTATAAGAATGTTCTAAATTGATTGGTGTTCTGGTTTTTGCGATATAATCAGTTGGAAATTTAACAAAAGAATGGCTCTCTCTACATTTTTTACCCATTTAATATTGGCAGCTCTTATCTTTCAAAAAGTATAAAAAATGGATGTAATCAGGTTTTCAAAAATTTCTTTTAAACAATACGTAATACCAATATAAAAAGAAAAGTAATGCTATCGGGCAAAATTTGCAATATTAGTTAGCAATATCCTTTAACTATACGTTCCGCTATATAGATGATGTTCTCTCACTAAATAATACAAAATTTGGTGACTATGTTGAACGAATCTATCCCATCGAACTAGAGATAAAGGATACTACAGATACAGTTAAATCTGCCTCAGATCTTGACGTACATCTAGAAATTGACAATGAGGGTCGGTTGAAAACAAAACTTTACGACAAAAGAGATAATTTCAGCTTCCCAATTGTGCACTTTCCATTTCTATGTAGCAACATTCCAGCAGCGCCTGTATACGGAGTATATATCTCCCAATTGATACGATATTCCCGGGCTTGTATTTCCTATCATGATTTCATTGATAGAGGATTGTTGCTCACAAGGAAGCTATTAAACCAAGAGTTCCAAATGG